ATAACGAGATGCTCCACATTTGAAGACGCACAAATGGTAGAAGGGGGATTTTATTCCGAAATAATTGAACTAGGACACGCTCGATGCGAAGAAATACACCACAAATTAATTTACCAAACCCCGTTAGGGGGCATAATATCGGGCTTACATATAAATGAAACTTTTATTACATCTCACACAAGTGGTGGATCTCTAGACAAAAATGGCAACTGTATAGGGACAACATTTACAAATTCCAGGGGTACATGGAACAATGTAATAGTACAGGCTAAGTATAATATTCATTTATCTGAGGGCACAGCCATGGCAAATACCAAGGAAAATATTCTAATTTTACCGACAGGGTCTAGGTTAAAATTATCAGATTCTTATGGGCTTGACCAATACAAGGGGGAAATAATATGGACAAACGAAAGACAAGACTGTAGTATATCAGAATACGACGTATTATATGACGGACCAGCTTCCATTGTCACTTCCGAAACCCATAACAATTATAAAATTGATACGTACGTTGTAGAAACAACATACATAGCTTTTGCGCTAAAAAAAGTATCTATGACATTCGCGTGTAATATCCCGGTCATTCAAACTGAAAACAATCAATTACTAATTATATCCCACCCAATTTACGCAAACAGTTTCACTCCTAAACAAATTCAACCCTTTAATACTGACCTGCTATCGTATATCAACACAAAATTTGTATATCTGGAATACACGATAAAAAGAACAGTGACCAAGCTTTACGAAGACCTCATAAAAAAACAATGCAACTTTGAAAGACAGCTTCTCTTACAAAAACTCACCCTCGCTTCATATAGCCTTCCCGAATTCGCATACACCATAGGAGAAGGACCCGGATATATAGCTATAAAAAACGGGGAAATCATATATCTCCAAAAATGTAAACCTGTCAATGTAGAGATATCTATACAAACCTCATGCTTCGACGAATTACCGGTGCTGTATAACAATAGAACACTGTTCATGACCCCAAAATCACACATACTTCAAATTTACGGAACGCAGATTGACTGCAATGAATATTTGCCACCCGCTTTCCAAAAAAATGGAAAATGGTTTTCATTAACACCAAAGCCCCATAAAGTTAATAATCCACAAACACTAAAACCAGACACTGCACTAAGTTGGTCATACGAAAGTTCAGATAATTTTATGACGGCAGGCATATACACACCCGATATCATGAAAGCACTCCAAAATCATTTAATGTTCCCTCAAGAATCTGAAACGGTCCAAAGAAATTTAATACGACAGACACTAGGCCATGACGTTATAAACCAGGGTATAAATATAAAAAACCTAATAGATGAGCAGACTATAAGTAAATTAGTACATCAAGAATTACACAACATATGGGGCTGGTTCACGAGTTTCGGCAATATAATGTCTGGCGTGCTAGGATTAGTCATAATTTGTAAAATGATCATAACACTCATAAACACTGGGCTAAATATCACTTTATTATACAAGACATTCGGGTGGAGCATCAAACTTATTGCGGGCTTATTCTCCAACGTAACACACCACTTAATGCATAACACACATAAAAAACAATATAGTTCCAGCAATTGCCAGATTAAAACAATAAAACCTAAAAGGCATGATAAAGAATCCGAACAGTTATCAAATAATAGGAGACTCTCAGTATAAAAAAAATATATTTATCTATATAATATAAACACATAATTACACTAACAATAATGATAAAAAAAAAAAAAAAATTCAAATCAAGACATCGCACAACACGCTCAAACTTAGATAACATTTTTCCTTTTTTTTTAACACCTAGTTTAGTAATACACACATAAATTATAGATTCTAAGATGGAAAATATAATATATCAATTATGCTTTAGTATAATCAAATCGATTTAAGTTTATGTATAAATGAGTACTTAGTATAAATACGAAGTATTATATAACTAGTATATAAGAATTACAGAATAACATTAATAAATAACAAATACAAATAACCTACTTTAAGTTACTTACCTAAGTACTAAAATACATTTAACCTAATTTAAGTTACTTACCTAAGTACTAAAATACATTTAACCTAATTTAAGTTAATATAAAAAAAAAAATAAATGTTAAAGCAAGTAAAATATGAAAAATATGTAAAAAAATTAACCTAATTTAAGTTAGCACAAGGTATAAAAAAAAAAAAAAAATGTTAAAGCAAGTAAAATATGAAAAATATGTAAAAAAATTAACCTAATTTAAGTTAGAATAAGATATAAAAAAAAAATGTTTAAGCAAGTCAAATACAAAGAATGTACTACATTTTTTCTAACCTAGTTTAAATCAGCAAAAGCATCAAAAAAATTGTAAAAAAAAAAAATATAAATTAATAAAAAAAAAAATAATGTAAAATAACTAACCTAAGTTAAGCTAGTAAAAGTAAGAAAATAAATGTTAAGCCTAGAAAATATAAAAAAAAAATGTCTATAAACTAAGTACATTGTAAGTGAATTAAATATGAAAAATGTATAATTAGATAAGCGCACCAAAAATATAATTGGTTAGAAGTTAAAACTTTGTAGAATATATAGAATAATAGCAAAATATGTAAAAAAGTAAAAAAAAGTCATGATATGTCAACATGACAATATATTGTATACAAATATTAAATTTAAAATAAATTGTATAGCTATCATTACAACACCAGATAGGGAACTTAAAATATAAAATATATATGATCAATAACAAGAATAGAAACACAACAATGGAATGTGGGGAGTACGAACCTTCAGTCTCAGTTCTATCCTCCTAATTTCTTCCTATGTAGTATGTAAACGTAAACCTTAATCTTACTCACATTGCCCCTTTTTGATTGTATAGTAAAATATTTTCTTTATATATATGTATATAAATGTCCAGTTTAAATTATATTCAAACTTTCGACTTTCAACTTTCAACTTTCAACTTTCGAATTTCAATTTTTTTTTTTTTTTCACTTTTTCTCTCTCATATTAAATATTTGTACTGCTCTCACTCTCGCCCACGAGCGGTGTTGTGAGGGCACAACACAAAAAAGTGTAGGGTGGATGTAATGATATGCTCACACACCATTATAATAAACTAAAATCTTACAGAATACTTAATAAATAACGGCCAGACTGTCGTTTGTAGAAATCGGTCACATCAAATAAAACCATTATTAACGACAACTAAGATATCGGCACGCACTCATAACGGTAAAACGCAGGGTGTGTGACTTTATTATACGATGCCGCCAGAGAAAAGGAAAGGAAAAAAGGGTATCTGCCGCCAAAGAATAATCTAGTTCCCAAGCTCACGATAACCTTTTGATAAAGCCGCCTACCACTCTCTGGTCAGCATCTTCTCGTCATCCCTTAAACCAGTGCATGAGCACCATTCACCGAGTAACAACCTCACAAAAAAGTCTAAAAGAAACCGATTTCAACGAGCGACACTCTGGACTCCTTATGTGAGCAATAATCAGTGCGTTTATTATTTCGATTTATACTTTAAAAAATATTACTCTGTGTCTATTAAAACCCTTACAAGATAATTCATAATCGACTGCGGATCAGGTAAGGCAATTAATATAATATTTTATATTAATTGCATTTGTTATATTATCTGTGCATGGTTTATATACAATTGTGTTGTATAGTGTATTTGATCTAATTCTCGAAAACACGATCTCGAGAGCCCTCCGAACACCTGGAGGAAGGTAATTGCTTAGTCTTACGATTTTAATATATTTATCGACAGGCGTCGTATTTTATTTTATATCGTAATTGTTGAGTCATTACAGTATATTCAACCATCATAGTATATTAAGGGGATTCGATACCGTGATTTTCTGTTTTTGTCTAACACACGCTCGACATAGTATTTTAGACGTGATTTTTGCCAAACATAACAATTGATCTAATGAAGCGATAAGAATTCTGAAGCCAGATTTGAATTTGTCGTCAAGTCTACTTGAAATCGACTTTCCCACATTTTTGATATTATCCCCCAATTTTTTTAAAATGTCATATATTCAAAAAGAGTATTTAAAAATTATGGTATTTCAATTATTGGGGAAGTTAAAAACAAAAAATCAAAAATGTGGGAAAGTCGATTTCAAGTAGACTTGACGACAAATTCAAATCTGTTTTCAGAAATCTTATCGCTTCAATAGATCAATTGGAATGTTTTGCAAAAAACACGTCTAAAATACTATGTCGCCCGTGTATTAGGCAAAAACAGAAAATCACGGTATCGAATCCGCTTAAGTGTTTACTATTAGTGGCGTCATTGGTGAGGGGGGCAGGGTGGGAATTGGCTCCCTTTGTTATTAGCGGGCCGCTGTCGGGCCGGGTATGGGCTAGTTATGTGCCTTCATTTATGAGCTAATAGGTAATATATTTAGGTATATCTACATATTATGTATTAATTATTTAGTCATTGTTACCTCTCAAAAAAATCGGTTATTTATGCCTTTGATAGTAAAACCACGGTTATCTCCGATAACCATGGTAGCAACTAGTAAGTATAAAATTATGTAAGAAGGCTATTTGTATTGAGATAAAAATGTAATTGTAATGCAAGCAAGTGGTTTTTTTTCAGTTTAATTATGGGCAGGTCAAACATTTTGCCCCCCCTTTCAAAAACTGAAATTACGTTATTATAATATAAGTTCTCGGTATGGTATGTCGCGGATACTTCGAGTAGACTTATTCACCGGACTTACAATTGGTATCTTAAAATGTATTCCAATGGTATACGCCTACATTCTTTAGTTGCGGCACCGAAGTGTTTAAAATATTATACTATGCCGTCGTACATCGAGCCCCCCCCCCATCATCCTACCTTTTTTAAATTTAACAATCAAAGCACCTACCCATAATGCAACGTTCAATAATTTATTTTTACATTTTGACTTAAATTCTGGATCTAACTTAGGCCCTCCATCTAAAAAATCTACTTCGACATAATAATATGTGTCACAGATAAATATTAGGTGATCGGCGCCACTGAATATCCAACGAAATTCGATACTATCATAACACGAAGCGAACTCACGTCGTTGCTCGGCCACACTACCTTGCCGTGGCCGTGCTGTCGGCCGCGAGCCCAACCACCTGTGTACCGAGTCTCGTCCGGCCAACTCGCCGTACCGCTGCCGTGCGGCCGCCCGTCCACCCAGTCGCCGGAGTAGTTCAACGCGCCGTCGGGTTGACCGACGCAGCAGGCCGTCTCTCCGCGTCCGTTCCTCGTACCGTTGGTCCAGTCGCCGCTGTACCACCGACGGCCGTCTTCGCAGGACACGTGCAGGCCTCGGCCGTGCCTCAGGCCCTTCAGGAATTCGCCGCTGTACCAACTGCCATCCAACCATCTAATGATGCCCCTGCCCTCGGGAATACCGTCGTTTAACTGTCCCTGCGGGGGCGTGAAAACATTTTTTCTCTGAGTTTCATCCGATGGTGGTAGGGTCATAGCCGAGGTGGGGTAAAGGGTACGACTTCCACCTACGATGGTTCTCTCGATGATACGGTACAGAGTCGAAATCCACATGTATACGATGCGCGCAGAGGTTGTCAACGGAATTGGTACACGAAGTTTATAAACGATTTCCGACACACATAACGTATAATATATGATATAAATAATCAAATATTATAGGTAATTAGATAATCGACTCAAAGATGTCTAAAGTATAGTCATACCTGTGGGACTTGAGCAACGGTTGCTAGTTGCTACTTGCTAATAATTTATTGTTCGCATGGTAAAAGAAAAACGAAATTATCAACCGGACGGTTAATTTTGTATTCGGTTTGATTTTTAAAATAAAAATGTTTTATAATAATTTTACAACAAATTATCCATTAATAATGAATATTATGAAATTATATTTATTACATACATCAATATTCAAACCTATTTAATCAATTCATCGGGATTGCTGTATAAATTGGACGACAATTATTTGTAAAATTGCCCTAGTGACATATGGCTGCTAGGCATTATAATTTATAATCCAACATCTTGTTAGTTGTTGCATATACGTATAGTCTGCAGCTATTCGGTTATTATAGACATAATAGTATATATCTGTGTGTCTAACCTACAGCCGATATTTATTCCACGATTACCGCGGTACGAAACGAAGTATTCCTGATCGACGAGTCGTGACAGGTCGAAGTATTCCTGATCGACGAGTCGTGACAGGTATGAAATACTTGGTAGGTAGGTACTGTTAAATAATTTAAGGGGAACTATAATAATTGTGCCAGTAGGTACCTAACTGAATCGCAGACTTACGGTGTTATTAATTAAAATACCGTAAAACGTACATGGGAGCAAATTATGATAGTTTATAGATGTTTCCGCATTTCGTCGCACAGAAGGTCGTCGTCGACTAATTATACGCGCAAGTAAGCTCTGATGGGGATTTTTGTGGTTTTGTTCGAACTCGATGGCGATGGATTCGACGAAATTTAGCTTCTGAAGCTGTTTACATCGGAAATCCGCACACTGCGTTCAGCTTACCCATAGAAGTATATAACGTATGTATATATATATAATATGTTTGCATGTGTGTGGACTAACCGCATTATTTATAGAAGTTATAAGCGTGTACCTATGATAAAACTAATTACGCGATGACTGGGTTTTGACTAATTTATAAGTTACCGAGAGCGGTAAATGCAAATGGGATTTTACGATTCGCCGGATGTGGACAATATTATCATAATCGAATAAGCCTGAATACTAACTGTAGGATGATGCAGTGGTGAAAAGCGGTAACCAGAAACTCCATATACCTACCTACCTATTCGACATATTATTAATGATCAATTATATAATTGAGAATAAAATTCCACAAAAAAAAAAACTAACTTAAATCATAAAGAATTTATTTGCACTTTAAAATTAATTACAACTAACACTGTACTACTGTAGTATAATAAATATATTAACTGTACGACCTGAGCTATTTCGTGTTCCTTGGAGTTGAATATTTAAATTTTTGAAGGAGAAAATACCGAAATGACGATCTTTGAGCTAATTCTTAAGAGTTATGAAACCGATCAAGTGTCAAGAGATTTCACAAAGTGCGTAGTCGATCAAATTACCAAGAAAACAGATGTGAAAACATGTGAACAGCACAACGTTAAGCATAATATCGCATGCATAAAGAAATCGTAATCCTATTGTGTTAAAGTGAATTAAATTGAACTGAATAGATAAGATATCAACCGAAGATAAATTTGAATTTCAGAAAAGAAAGAGGAACAATAGGAGCTTTTTTAGAGCTTAGATAAGTCACTGAAAAAAAATGAAAGCACGTCAAATTTTCAGTAGGAAGTTAACATTAACTGGAAATGTTATTGCAATAACAGTTAAAGAAGAGAGCGTACAAAATATCTCAAGAGTAACCAATATAATAAAGAAAAATTAATTATTTATGTAAATAAACAAAGCAAAAACTAAAATCTTCGTCTATAGTCATAACGAAGAAAACTAAACTACTAAAGTACTCTAGATGGTTACACTTTCGTGCAATATGAAACTAGGACAAATAATTTGGTAGTTACGATGGCCGTAGTAGCAAGAAGATAGTAGGAAGAATAAACCAGGGTATATGCACATTTCAGAGCAAGAAGAATATGCTTATAACTAAAAATATTGACATTAAAGTGAGGAAAATCTATTTATATGGCTTATGTTTGGAGTATAATATAGCAGTGATACATGAACTATAGGTTAGAAAGAAGAAAAAAATTATTTTTGGAATATTCTAGACATAGTGTTAGAATAGACGGATGATTAGAATAAGATGGACAGAACACAAAAAATGAAAATGTCATCAGAAAAGTCGGGGATACTTAAAGTTTCTTGAAAACAAGAAAAGTAAATTTGACTAATATGCTCAACCATAACAACCAGTCTCCTCAGTAGAATAATAGAAGGTGCAAATATTTCATAGAGGGGAAAAATGGCTTCAGAAAACCACTATAATTAAAACCGGATAGTCAAGTAATAAAAGCCGCTAATAGTTATTGCAGATTGTATTATGAGCTGAAAAGAAAAGTGGAGAAACTCGTGGATTGGAGAACTGCGGTCAAAAAGCCTTTAGCCTAGCTGTTACCAAAAGATGAAGTCCTATGCAAAGTATAGTTAACATTATAAGGTTATTAAGATACCAATATGTAAGCTTAAGTTGACTTTAGGTTGTGAACATGTTACCTCGTAAATGGCGCCGCCATCCAGACATAGACGTCCCGTTTTGTGTGGGATCGATTCGGATGCGAGTCCTTCGAACACGTTACCCGATACGTACGTCATCCGATCCACGTTTTGTGTTTCAAGTTTATCCTCCATTTCCGTTATTTCCGATGTTGACAACAACTGCTCTTTGCTTTAGTGAAAATTGGGTTTCAAAAATAAATAATAAGGGGGGAAGTAGGTAACCACTCCGATGACTGATGTTCAGTAAGTTGTAGGTGTCGAGTATACCTCGTAATGCTGGGAGTAAGTCACGCTATAATGTATGTGTTAAATAAAATATCATTGCATACGAAAAGCGATTCGGACTTCTGAGCGAGGATGGTCTATCAGCGAATACTACTAAGTACCTATGTTTTATGATATATTTATAATGCGATTAAAATAATTTATTTTACTATTAGTAATAATGTACCTAATATGCGTTAGGTAGGTTGAGTTAATTTTTTCCGAAAAATTGCATTTTAAAATTACATTGTGTGTATGAAACATGATAATGATAATATAGATCTGTAAAAGTATAGAAAATTCTAATACAAACATTTGTTGTACGTTTGGTAACATATTACCAAGTATCTAACGTAATTTTTCTGATTATTTTGAAAAATAACTACTTTTTTATATTGGACCACCCAAAGTACTAAATCGAACACCAGATCAAACTCTCTACTAAAAGTCCAGAAACCATTGTCAACATTGAAAATCTAAGTATTTTTTTTACCAGAAATGGTGTCTAGAGACACAAAATAAGAAATACACCCTTGTAAAATCAACATATTCATCGTTTCGGTTAGAATATAAAATAATTATTGCCATTACATTTACGTGACATAATGTCTGACTATCGTTATTCATGAAATTACATAAATGCAATCAAAGCAATCAAGCGTGGTAAAGTTTTTGTAATTTCTGCTTCTATTGTTACTTAGGATTAAAAATATATTGCGTCTTACTGATCGATAACGTAACCGACCATCGAATTGTAAAATGTCTCGTTCAACTCGTGATGGGTTTCAGCTTGTATGACGTCAGGAAGCGGCCGATCGTCGAAGGTTTCCAAAAATCTCAACGATTTTGCCGGATCACCTAATGTGGATAATTCGAATGACAATAAAGTTATAAAAAATATTGTACTGTATCGTGTGAAATGCTTGCAAATGGTATTTTCTCTCTCTAATTTAAATAAATCTGTTTATTATTTGTTGGACTTTCGTAATAACAACCGTAAGTCTCCGACATTTGTTTTAATATTCATTTCATTTTGGAGAAATTATTTTTTATTTTACACATTACACGACATTACACGTTGTTGGTGGCGCATAGTATTTTATCAGCACACAGGGTAGCAAAAAATTCTGTGTTACAGCTTAGTTTGTGTCTGTAAGTCGTACGTGTTATACAAATATACGAATGCGAAATATAAATCGTGCTTATTACAATTTACATTCGTGTTATTTTTTCCATACACAACAATTGATTTTATTTAAAATATAAATTTGTCTTGACTATATAACCTGATAAATCGTTTGATGTTTTTATACCAAATGATGATTATATCAAATAATATTATATCATATTGCATGTTTGAACTGACCAATAACTATATTAATGTAATAAACAATTCACCTAGCAAGATGGTCACTATTTAATATTAAATATTACCTATATATTATTATGATTATGATATATTACAGACTGCATTTAGAATAACGATAGTTTTACAAAATATTTTGGCTAGTTTAGTCTACCGTCTCGACCATTAGGTCTAGTACGATTTATTATTATCATCGTTATTACTATTTTTATTATTATTATTGTAACTAACACAAAACAGGGTTATTTATTCAGAGTTGTTTGTCCATATGAATATCTTTTTTTTTCGTTGTTCCTGTCGGGGTCACTTTGAAGTTCTCATAACATATAATATAATTATGAAATAAAACAATTATTCTCGAACAGGTTTTCAGCTCCTTATAATTATTATTCAAATTCATAAAACGAAAACCTCCAACAACGTACACTACGAGGTGTTCGAAAGTTTTCAGATAACTTTGACGTCACATTAACGCGAGTGGTACCAATTAAAATTTTTCAAAACTGAATGTAAAGTGTATAATCGATTGTTTTTATCCACGCGCATAGTCTTCGCCGATAATTCCGTGCAGGTATAGGTATCAGCTAACAGATTACGTTTTCATATAATTTATAGAAGACGCATTGGCAGTGAATATAATATATTATAATAGCGACTGTAATTAATTGGTTATTAAGCTCGGTTCACTTGG